GCAGGGGGTTTTGGGGCTTATTACTCTTTGTCCTGTTTACAATACTGGTACATGATAAGATCTAAGATTTAGTACTGTGCTAAAGATTTAGGATTTTTGGATCCTAAGTTCAAAAACTGGAAGCCAGACTTAGGGCAAGGTGGGAAGGTAGAAGTAGAAACGAAGAGATGAAGGCTTTCCAAATATCCACTGTACCTTATAGTTATCTCCATTTCCATTAAGCTATCATCATATCTTGCTGTTTGACTGGTCTCTGTTCCACTCTTGCTGCTTTCATTGTGTGAGTGTCTCTCCCTGTATTGCTTGTGAGTGAGCTTTTAAAAGTCTAAATGAATGCATATCACTCATAGGAACCACTCATTGGCTTATAGCCTGCAAGCTGTGATCCTTGTCTGCCTCTTTCTGTGCCATTTCTTGTCACTGTACAGGCTCAATGGTTTCCAGGTTGCATGGATCTTGATGAGTGGGGTTTGTGTGTATGTGTGTGTGTATTCATTTAGTTTTTAAAATTAATAATTTCTTTTAAATTGTGGTAACATTGGGTTACAATACTGTACATGATTTAGAGGCATAGAATCACACCTCAGATTTAAGTTTTCACATCACACCTATAGTCCAAGGCACCATAGTCTACCACCAGGGCCCATTGTGCATCCTCCTTACTTATGTGCTAAGCTTTTCTGGCCATAGCATCTTTGGTCATGTCAATCTTCTCTCCTTTCTTGGATGACTTCTACTAGTATGAGATGCAGTGTATCTTAGTGGTTAAGAATTGTGCACACTAACGCCAGAATAGCTGACCAAAACCTAGCTATCCTACTTACCAATATCAACTGTGTGACTTTAAATAAGTTATGTACCCTTTATAGGGCTTCATTTAAAAAACGAAGTTGACATTAGCACCTGACTCAATGGGAAGTTATGAGGATACATGTAAAGGACTTAACAATGCTTAGTACATAGAAAAATGTCAAAAATATTACCTCTTATTACCTTTTGGGCCTCAGAATAAACCTCATTTCCTTTGAGATCTTGCTTGAATCTGACCCTCCCTTTCTGCTTCCCTCTATGGCATTCCATTTTCCCCCATCACACTCTTTTCTTTCATTTTATATGTTATAATCACTTACATTTCTGTTTATTAATTGACACCATTAGTAGATTGGAAACCCCTTGAGGACAAGAACTCAGCCAACCTATCAGTGAGTAACCAACATAATACACAGTGCAATAGTAGACATTCAATAGATATCTTGATGAAAGAATGACTGAAGCTGATGGTTCAAGACTAAATGAGTCTATGAGTGCTGAGTGTCTGCTGGGAAAGTCTTGGCACCTCAGAGGGATGGAGCTGGGCCAGAAGCCAGTGGAGTTCCACTACACTACTTTTCAATATATTATCTTTACATTGTATTTTAAGATGTTGACACATCAAAATCAAATTACTGGACCAAGCTCAACATTTACATTTCTATGCCAGGATTAAATGCTCTTTTTTGGCAGGAAAAAATGTTCAGATTTTCCATAGACTTGCATCCAACCTGGAGTTGGCCTGAATGAATTGTGTAAATGAGACAATCATGGTTTCTTTTCTTCTACCCTTAACCCCATCCTGTTTCACCTTGCAAAATTACTGAATATTTGCCTCAATTAATTGCTTCAATGGTTGGGTTAGTATCGACCGACTATAGTGTAAACTATGACTATAGGACAACTACTTCCTAGATGGTGAGCCCAAACAAGATATAGGCTGATGTTTGCATTTCTCACTTCTGTTTTAAATTGGCTTCTTTCTCTACATGCCTTCCTTTTTTTTTTTTTATTGCCAGTGATTGTTTATTTTATATGTACAACCCTTTCCCTACAAAGCTTCTTAGACTGTATAGAGGACATTGCATTGAGAAAAAGCAATGACAAATATACGCAGGAACAAAAGTGAAAATTTAAACTCCAATCAATAGCATTTGGATAGTATAGGGTTACTTTCTTCCATGCCTTCCCTTTGGTTCTCACTAGTGATCCGGTCCCCAGAGACAATTTCCTCTCTCTTCTTCCTTTCTTCTCCCATTGTTCCTGTGTTTTGTTCAGTGCTCACTGAAGGTGATTCAAGTCTTTGGCATCTGTGTATTTGGAGTTATGGGGATTTATAATTGCTAGGTTATTTTCCACACTGTAACCTTGTTCTATTCCTTACATCTATTTTTCAAGGCTATATTCTTCCAAATTCTTTCTTTGATCATTATCAAAAATTTTGGTAATTTTTTTTTGGTTAAAAGTTTTGCACCTCTCTTCTCTCCCTCATCATTCTCATACAGTTTTTATTGGCAATGTTTCTTTTCCCTGCCTATGTTATCTTCAATTTTTCTCAACCAATCTAAATGTTGAGGGCAGTGCTTTCATTAAGGAGCAAAGCTGGATATCTTGGCAAAAATAACAACAACAACAAAAAAAACACATACATATCATGAAACAATGCATTTAAAACATAAATTGGAAGTTTGAACTAGAAATATCTACACTTTTCTTCTACTAGACTTGTATACAATTGAACAATGTCAGAGAAAGTTCAGATACCTTATACCACTTGACTATACTGAAATACTGTTGGCATAGTGCCTTAGTAAAAAGTGACTACACTGTATTTTAAAGTCAGTAAGGCATTAATGTTTAATTATCATGGTTCTTTGCCTTTTAGAAAAAATGTAGATAACATTCTTATGAATTTCTTATTTTTATTTTTAAGATGACCAAAGGTCTAGGACAAAATTGACATATAGCTATTATCTTTTACATCCTAGACTAAAAAAACAAGAATACAAATGTAAACAATAACAGAAGAAATTCTGTCTTAAGAATCACAGTACTCCTATGTGTGCCATAGATAATCAATGTTTTGAGCAATGGGTTAATGAGAATGGGCTGACATATTAAATTAGGTTGCATGTTGAAATACAGTTATCAGTCTTAAGAAAAATATGCATGTCACCATCTCTGAAGAACACATAGTCCATAAATGACATACTCAGAGGTTGTCCTTGATGATTTCTTTCCAGAAGGACTGCAAACACAGATCTTCCCACCATATGGATGTATATGCATGGGATGTGATCTTAAAATGCTGCCTTGATTCTGGGAAGGCTGAAGTCTGGGAAACCTGGATGTAACCATTCAGGAAAACAGGAGTGTTTTTCTTTGGCTGATGTTCCTTAAGTTACTTAAATGAAACTCATTGGCTATTGATCTGTATATATTGAGATTACAATAAAACATAATGGATTAGTTTCTCTTTCTCCAGCTTTACAAGAGTGGCATTTTACTTCTTGAGAGTAATAAATCATGGTTTTCGGTTTGGGGAAATATTCTAGGATCTGGATAGCAGCTGATTTATTTTTAAGACAGTGATGTCAGAAAGAAAAGCATAACACAGAGTTTGATGGTAGTGTTCATTGGCATAATAGCAATTGCTGTTTAAAATATTAAGTAAGGTGGGTTCCTTTTCCTGTTTTCAGAAACTAGTCCTATAAGATGGATCACAACCCTTCACCATCATAGGTTTCTCTTTTCAGTGCATGTACATTCTTTTGATATTTTTTCCCCCATGACAATCTTAGCTGCTCTATTTATCTCTTTAATCTAATTTATGCAATGACATCAAGCTTTAATTTTTTCATGATTATTTTTCATCTTTTCAAGCACCCATAGTGTGCCAAGCATTGGATAAAATTGAAAAGATACAATTCCTGCTGTTCCTGGGCTCACATATTTCTAGAAATATGAGGGGTAACATATTCTGTAATTGGAGATAGGTAGTCCGCATGCTTTCCCCGTTCACCCTTTTGAAGAAACTTCATCTCTCTGAACAAGCCTAAGAAGTTTCTTAGATCAAAGGTGTTATTAAAAAAAAAAAAAAAAAAAAAAAAAAAAAACCACGGGTGTAGGGGGGGGGGCGAGTTAAAGCAAGTCAGAGAGTATGCAAAAGACTTCAGAGCTGTGACTCTGCTCAAAGCCTCCCCATAAGCTCTCTGTACTTCTGCCTCACCTTGCAAGCTTGGACTTCCCACCTCTTCTTTGTTGCACCTCCAGCATCCACCGTCCAGATGCCAAAGAATTCTGGCTCCATTCTACTCCACACTCCCCCACAAACCCTAGGACTGCCACGTTAGCCCAGCTAGGATTTTCCCAGACTTTGGTGGGCATAGATTGACAGCCTCTGGGAGCCCCTGATTAGAGAGATACACAGGCAGGTGAGGACCAAGCTTCCGGTGTTTGCTCGGAGTCACCTCCAATTTTTCTCTTACTCTCTTTTGCATATATCCCACTAGGATTCTCTTTGTCTTTTTCCCCTAACACTGAAGCCCTCTCCTGCCTGGGAACTGCAGAGGTACGCCCTGGCTTCCGGACAGGAGAGTCTCCCGCTGTGTATGCTTTATTCAATGTGTCTGGTTGTTTGCTTGAGTGTGTCGGGGTAGTTAAAATGGGGTGGGGGGGATAAAGCACTCCACTCTCTCTCTCTTTTTTTTGTCCTACTCCCAACCATCACTTCGTGGATCCCGGAGGCGCAAAGCACTTGCCCAGCCCTGTTCATGGAGATTAGTGGCTAGGGTAGCCCCGGCTCAGCTGAGCTGGGCAGTCTCTCTCACCTGACCCACAACTGTACCCCGAAAGTTGCAAAAAACAATCTCGGGGAGCTGAGGACCATAGGTTGAGTCCAGGTTCCTGGGGCTCTCGCCCAGGGGAGCGTGCTGAGCCAAGGGTAGGGCTATTACACCCACTAGGGGTAGGGGAGGAGGCTGCCGGGTGGGGGCAGAGGGGAGGGGGAAGGCGAGGAGCAGCTGCCGGGGAAGCTGAGGAGCTAGGTAGCGAGCTCCCGGTGGCCCGCGCCCCGTGGCTCGCAGGGACGCACTAGGCAGCCAATAGCGGCGCAGAGGTGTACAGCAGATGGCGTCCGACTGCGCTGTTCTTTCCTCCTCCTCCTCTTCCTCCTCCTCCTCCTCCTGCTCCTTTTCCTTCAGAGCTGAGGAGCTAGAGTCGCCGCCGGGTTGCCAGACGCTGGAATGGGTGGTCTCCCGACACACACCACCATTTTTCTCGCGCTCGGAAAGCTCAGGGTTCGGCGGCTCCCAGAGGCTGCAGAGGCGGCTCAGGCGAGGCGGGTGAGTGCGGCCGCGCTGTGCCGGGAGCTGGGGATCCCTAGCTCCTGCCGGTGCTGGCCAGAGGTGGCAGCTGCTTGGGGCTGGGACGCAGACTTTGCTTTTTACTCCCGAGGCAGCTACCCTCGTCCCTTTTCACGGCCAAACGCGGGAACTTGCAGGCAAAGCATCTCGGACACCTCCGGATTCGGGCTGTTGGAAGGGTGGACTGCTTGGGGCGCGGCGTGAGGAGTCCCCGGCTTGGACCCGCGGTGATACCCCACGCAGAGAATTAGGCACAGACCTCAGGCAGCCGACCGGAGCCTTAATATTGGGGTGCAGGAGCTCCGTTCCTTCCACTTCTAGCTTGCTTTTAGGGGTACAGAGGAAAGGAGCCAAGAATACCCCATCCTGCGCGGAGTGCACTGGAACCCGGGAGGAGAGCAGGGAGTTCTGCGGGATTTGCAAACAGGTTGACTGAGGGTTCCCTTTTAGTAACGCTGACTGCGAAATTTGCGCGTGGGTGTTCAGTGCCCCTGGAGGATAGCTGAGCGAGCCAAGAAGTTTTTGTAGCTTCCCTGATTTATCAGTGAAGAGTCAGGAGGCTGCAGCAACAGTTTACATTTCCACTGCCCCTGCGGGGAAACGGGGTGAATTGGGGAGAATGGGACTTGAGGTTTGGATTGGACATCACACTGCTTATCATGAGAAGACTAGGAACAGGGCGTGAGAGTGAGAAACAGAGATCACGCGTGTTTCCCAATACATCACCCATCTGCTCCTGTCACCTTTACTTTGGATCATCAACCATAGCATTAAAGTTGTTTAAATATGCTACCAGAGCTCCCCACCCCCTTTTGACATTTCGTTTGAATATTAAAGTTGGAAAGCTTGGGGTTTGTGTGTTTGGGGAGGGGGGCATTTAGCTTTCTGGATCTCTTTTTAAATATAAGGGGAAAAAACTTATTTCAGGATAAGTACACTTGAGCTACTGGTACTTTTTTCTTGGAATCATTCAGACTATCTCTTAAGAGTCACTGCAGTTCAATTCTGTATGGTGAAGGAAAAAACTTGATTACCATAATGGGATCTTTGGCATATTCTGTTGAAGATGCCTGGGTAATTTGGTGCTGTTTATTGCCAGGGTGGTCTGCTGGTTGCCTTCAGTGTCCCCCACTTTTATGTGTTTGTGGTGATAAGTCTATTTGAACTGTCTTGTTTTTTGGAGCGAACCTGTGGGTGCTTTGTTATCACAGAAATGATAATCCATGTAGTCAGGATACATGCTAACCAGGTTGTGGGGTGTATGTGCATGCCTGTGTGTGTACACCTGTGCACGTGGGCATCAATTTTTCATTTGCACAAATGAGCTTTGGATGGCAAAGTGATGCATTTATTTCACTAGTAATGTCAGACAGTGGGTCTGTTGGGTAAATGGGAGGTGGTCTGCATCCAGGAAAGCCTTTTTTGTGTTATTGACTCTACTAGTAGTTCCTTAAGGCTTTATGAAAGCCACTTAGGATGTTACTAATCAAATCAAGAAGTCCTATCCAGTGGTGAGTAAAAACTGGTGCATCTGTGGGTTGAAAGCCATACAAAGTCCTGGTCTTAAGGCTTCACTTTGATGGGCTGCTGCTTTTAAACCTTGATGTCGGTAATATGATGAGCCTCCTTTTAAAACTTAATGAGCCAGTTTTCTGTGGTTATATGAGTTGAAGACTAGATTCCTTGGAATTATTTACTTTATGTGGCATTGTATTTTTTTTTTTTTTCGTTACCTGTTGGGAGTTGACATTGGAAACACTTTTATGCAAACTTAAAGAGCTGTGAAGCTAAAACTATAGACATATTTGTTTGTAGAAACAGACCTAATTGTTGATTTCAGAAATGTGTGATAGTTTTTCATGTTAACATGGATAGTTCCAGTAACCGGAGAACACCATAAGTTGCTTAGTGCTGAGAATTCCAGGTCAATTTGTGATAAGTGGTTGGAGCTGTGTGGTCCAGGAAATGACCACCTACTCTTCAAGGCCTTTGATAATCCATTGAGGGTTCTTAACAAGTGGGCTTACATTATGTCTACTTTACTAAAGTTTGTACTTTAATGACCTTTGCAATATTTATTAATCTCTTTTTCATTGTTTTTAATCAACACTGTTGATTATTAAAGAGAATGGTTAAGAAGGAGCAAAACTATCAGGCAGGTGCAAAATAGTTACTGATCACAAAAACATAAACACAAACCCATTGTTTGAGAATCGACATTGATAAACTGGCAACTAAAAGTCCTTTCTCTTCTCTGCTGAATGTCCCTTTTGAGAGGAAGTAGGTAAAATATTAAAGAAAATGGTATTGCTAAAATGTACTTTTGGAAAAAACGGCTATTAAGAGCTTGTCTACTTGCTGCAAATAATGTTTTTAAATAAATAATTCTTTTATTGATATCTGTAAAAAAAAATCCCTTGTATCACAGACTGAGTAAAACAGAATAATAAAAAAAAGCATTAAGTTAGTGTAAGAGGAGTATACAAACAAGAAAAATTCCAATGCATGTCAACTCATTTTAATTATACTTCACAAACTGAAGTTGGAGTCATATAATTACTTCAAAGAAAAAAATAAGTCTTGCCAAAATGGCACTTTTAATGTTCTGTACACCTTTATAAAGATTAGGCGTTAAAATAATAACATAGTTTCAAAAAGTTGACTAGAATGATGAAGAATAATTGACTGGTCCTATTGAGTTGAGTCAAACTGACAAATGATACAATATATTAAACACCCTATCTAGACAAACAGATTAAAGAATTCTAAGTAGTGACAACTTGTATTTGGTGCAGAAAAGAACAGCAGCATTAACAACACTGCTTCAGAGAGGCTTGCTCTGCAGATGGAATTGCAAAGGATGAGTTTTTGAATAACTAGAGGTTATTACAGCATCAAAACTAATTTACATGAGTTACTCAGATATGCTTTTGGATTTTTGAATATGAATTGCACATAAGTGCTTTATGTTTTTAAAAGAGGACATTTTTCCAGTATGTAACTATAAAGCAGCAGCTGCATTTACTTTAACACCAGGCTGCTTCCTAAATATAACACAGGTCCTTAATTTAGAGCTGTTAACAGGATTAATATCTAAGTGATAATTAACACGTTAAACCTGTGAAAGTAGAATTTTTTTTTTAAACTCCACTTCCAACTCCAGAAATGTTAGAAATTGTGAGCTTGAGTGGGATCAGTGTTTCAGCAGATGTGAAGACTGTGGCACCCTTGCTCCAAGAAATTAAATATTTTATCCACCCTTCAGAATTTCAATAATTGGGATTATTGTATTGATTTTACTAGCATTTTCATGGGTAGTTGTTCTTAATAGGGAAGTGTAGCTCCTGATGAAAGGAAGCCGAAGAGGATTAGGAGCAGCTCCCTGTCAGCTGTGGTGGTTCCTGAATGAGAAGGAAGCAGAGATCGGTCATTGGATTTCTCTTGATTACACTTTCCTTCTGAGCCTTGTTCCCTAGAGTTGACCAGTTATGCAAAATGCAGTGCCCCCGCCCCTGCAGTTATAATTTACCCCTGATTTTATTATGAGAATTTTATAGCTACTACAGATCAAGCAATTCATTTGGAGGGAAAACAGAATTTAGTGAAATCCAATTACTCCATGTCTTTTTGTTAGAATTTTGAAAGCAACTCTGAAAGTGTTGGATAGAGTCTCACCACTGTGCTGTGGGGGGCTTGCCACTGTTGCAGGGAGTTCAAATTGTGGAACCCAAACTTGGTTTGTAAGCCAAAATATTAAGTCACCTGGCTCATACAGAAGGCTAATAGACTTTAAGAGCGTATATATTTGAGCAAGAAATAAAGTCAATACTGAAAAAAGCATCACTATTTGACGAATTATTGGTCATTAAGTATTTTTGCAATAAAAGTTTTTTTTTAAAGTGCACTTTGTTGTGACATGGGAATCTAGAATTTTTCAAGTTAAAAAAGGAGCTCCTCATTAGAAGATTGGGCATTGACCTAGATTTAAGGATCCACAAAAATGTGGAAATAATTCTTCCATGGAACAAAAGGTTATCATTGTTGGATTTAGGTATTTTGCAACAAGGGACATTATGCTTGTTTTTGATTTTGCTTCTCTAGGCATATTTTAATTGTAAGTCTCTTGTAATTAAATATGCTGCAGTTGAAAACGGAATCCTAAATAACTAATGCACAAACAATTCTTCAATGCTTCGACAGGAGAGAAGCCCTTTGCTGTGTTCCACTTGCCTGCGTGAGGGTTGGCTGTTGATTTGTGCCCTGGTGTTATGTTAGCGAATAGCTCATTACTTCTGGAAGAATCACAATGTTGAGAAAAGCTCTCAGCTTCATGGCAGTTAGGCACCATTGCTTTGGTCTTAGACTGTAGTTTTGTAATAATGCATATTTTAATTTTGGGTTCTCTCAGGTCATCATTTTTAAAAGCAAACTAAGTAGTACACATAAATGAAAGATTTTAATTACAATACGACTGAAGCTGGCAGTAATCCTCCTTGCAGAATTTGCTTCTGGGCTTTCCTCTGTTGATTTTGCCTTTTGTGCTTACGTGGGACATATTCTGGGTGATTTAGTTTGTGTGCTTCATACAACTTTATTGGTCATAAAAATATTGAAATACTTTGTACTTGTAGGTACCATATGCTGTTCTGAGCCTCTGAAGGTCCCATCAGCACTTTAGTCCTGTGGGACCTCCCTGAGGCCTTCTAGATCATCTGTCCTTACAACCACTATGAGAGTCCCACTTACTATGGCAGGGGGTGCCTTGGGACCATTTCCAGGATTGTTGTTGAAGTCTATTCTGATTGTATAATGCTGGAGTCTTACGGCCTACAAAATATATTTAAATATCATCCTTGATATTTTTTTACTCATACCAAGAGTAAGTGCGTTATCAAATGGCTGAACTCGAAGTCTGTTTAAATTTACATTTTAATTCTTCTTAGCTAGCATTTATATGTGCTAGAAAAACTTAAATATCA